GTTAATTGTCTTTCTTCACGTTGAAAAGAAACGTTCCAATCTTTGGGAGAGTACTCTCGTGTGTATGTCAATGAGATAAGTCTACTTCACACTAGCAATTTAGCAATTAGTTATATCAATTTATTAAATAATTATCATGATAACCTATACCTTTCTATTCCCCTCACCCCGAACGGGGTCCTCCATCGTCTCCGCCTTTCTACAAGGGGTCCGCGAAACATCAATGGTTGAGAACCACTGCTATTATGTATGCCATTTCTGTTCAAACAAAGTTTCCAAATTAAATGTTCATCATAGTTTTGTTTAACCCGAGACTGGGGTATTTCGGAAAAGGGACGAGAAGAAAAGAGGCCACAAGGAGGCGACGTCTCAATCAGAATGTTCATCGCTCTTTTCTTCTCGTTTGCTTAGAGGAAGGGAAGCAAGCGTCAATGTACGATTCTCAGTGCGTACTTCTTCACATAACATATATCTGATGGTATGTTGGGAACCCAAGCAAGGTAAGGCTCATCAACAAAGCCGCGAAGGCATAACGACGTTGGAATTATGCTGAACTAGTGCCATTCGGTCGTAGCGCGAACGGGCAAAATGAGAATGGGTCCAGCTGCGAAAAACACGATTCGGATCTTATGAGAAGGTTCAAACGATAAGGACCAAATGAGAATCGGTCGAAATGCGCAAGGTTCAAATGCGAATGGGACGTTTTGAGATACACCCGTACGGCACCTATGATGAAGGAGCTGGCATCTGCCGAAACTGTTGTGGGGTACACTGGGTTGTACTTGGCGAGACAGCAGTCTGAACTTAAGAGGTTCTTCACCCGTAGGAATGCAGCCGCCTGCTCAGGATCCCAGGCCCATACGTTGCTCCTCGACAAAAGTGCTCGGAGAAAAGCGGTGACTTCGGAGATGTGCGGCATGAAACGCGCAACATGGTTTACCATGCCAAGTAGCCTTCGGACCCCTGCAGGCCTTTCCATCGCCTGGACAGCCTGAATCTTGCTAGGATCCGGCTTCACACCTTCTGCTGATACGACGACTCCAAGAAAGCTGACTTTGGACACTCCGAACACGCACTTGTCTTTGTTGAGAGTGATGCCAGGCTTCGATAGTCGGGAAAGCACCTGGTTGAGCCGCGCGTCATGTTCTTCGAGCGTCCGTCCAAAGACAAGAATGTCGTCAATCATGTTGACTCACCCGACCTGTCCTTCCAGTATGCGCGCCATCAACTTCTGAAAGTACTCTCGTGCCGACGTAATTCCAAAAGGCAGACTACAAAAGCAGAAGCGGCCAAAGGGAGTAATGAAAGGGGTGTACTCCTGACTTTCCTTGGCAAGTTTCTCTTGGTGAAATCCGGAATTTGCGTCCAACTTGGAGTACACAGTCGCTTCTCCGAGAAGTCCGAGAACTTGGTCCACTGTAGGGAGCATGTGCCGTTCTCGAAGGACGACCTTGTTGAGCTTCGTAAGGTCATCGCAGAGACGGTGACCACGAGAAGCCTTCGGAACGACGACTATTCCTGCACACCACGGGGTGGGGCCTTCAACCCGACGAATAACGCCCTGTCGCTCGAGCTTCTCCAGTTCCGTCCTCATGACCCCTCGTAAGGGAACAGGTATACAACGAGGTACACTCAACGAGAAAGGGGTGGCTTTGGATTCTAGGCGGATCGTGTACTCGTTGGGTAACGTACCCAGACCTGTGAAGAACTCAGTGAAGCCTGGGTTGACTGCAGGCTTGGCTGGAGTATCGAGGAACTTGATGACCTGAAGGTCCTCTATGGCAGAAAAGCCCAGAAAAGGAGTACTGAAAGACTGGATGACATACACCTGCTGTTTGGAAAATCTGCCGTTCCACCTCAGCGTCGATGGGAACGAACCCAGCACTTTATGCAAGTGGTTGCCCGGTCCATGAATGGTGTTTTCCACCTTTGACAAACGCTGGGGAATCCGAGGGAAATTATCTGGAACAGCCGTCACCTCGGCTCCCGAGTCCACTTTGAAGGACGCTGTATAGTTGTTCACGGTGACATCAATGTACTTAGCCCTCTACCCGGTGTCGACTACAGAAAGCTATAGAGAGCCTACTTTGGCTTGCTTTTTCATGCGGGAAAGACAGACCTCTCCGAAGTGCCCTTGCTTATGGCAAACGTTACACTTCGACTTGCGTGCGGGATAGTCCTCACGAGGATGAGATGAACGTCCGCAGATTGAACAAGAACCATGCTAGGCCTGCCCGTAGAGACGCGAGACGACTGGTCATGAGCAGCATTAGTGGCATTAGGCTTAGTGCCGCGCCGCTTGAGACGACCTGCGAGCTTGGTCGCGTCAAAATTGACACTTTGACCTCCTGGAGTTTCAGATTTACCCGTGCCTGCCTTGGTTGCCTTTTGTTTGTCGGCCTCTTCGGTTTAACGCGCTTGTACCCACGCGTCCTTGAGCGTGAGCTTCGGGTTACGTTCAAGACGGTCAGACAGCTGAGAGTCCCGAAGACCGACGACAAAACGATCCCTGACAAGACTTTCCTCGGCTTCCGGGGTGCCATAGTTATACTGCTTGACTAGACGCATCAGCTCCGTGTAGAACGTATCTACGGTTTCCTCCGCTTGTTGGACCCGCCGATACAAACGCGACGATTTGTATACCTCGTTCACGGGGTGGACGAAGTGCTCGGTGAAACACCGTACCACGACGTTGTATGGCGCCTCACCGGACAGCGAAAAGGACTGCAGCAAGCGTCGGGCCTCCGATCCCATGCAGTAGAGTAGCAGACGTACCTGTACATCTTCAGGTGCCGAGGAAACACCCGATGCAAGGGCGTAGTCTTCATACTGCGATAGCCAGGAGGGCCACAGTTCCGCGTTCGAAAAGTCGAAGCTGTCGGGCTGGCGTAAAGCGATGCCCCTCCAGGGTGTGGAATCGGTGGTGCTATCACAGCTTGCCATACCCCATCACTTCTGACACCATGTAGGATTAAGAACCCACCTCTCAAACCCTGTGAGGCTGAGTTCAGTAAAAGACAACCGACACCGACGGCTACTCGTGAAGAACTCCACTTTACTTCTTCTAAAGAACACGCACGCCCCGCCCCCCTTCTCGCTAACCGCTCATTCACACTGGAAGCGGATCCGCGTTCCACAAAGCGGTTGCGAACGCGGATCCGCTTCCAGTGTGAATGAGTGGTAAGAGGCCACTAGCTGGACCAACTCGCAAATAGCGACCACTACAGGGCCATTCTACGAGATCTGGGTTATGACATTGAGCATCTACCAGACATCCCGCCAGCACCACCACCGTGAGATTCTATTCCTAACATAAAGGTTTTACCTCTTCCCAAGAATATGAATGCGGACAGTCACCCAGGCAGACAACAAGCACGTGCTAACCCTCTAGCCACGCCTGACAACGACACCTACTATATGGACGCCGCACATACTCCAGAGGAGACCACCACAGCTGTTGTGGGTCCGAGGAACGAGGCTATCCGGAGTCACGCAGCAGTACCTTCTCCTGTCGCCGCCGAGATTCAGGCCATTACAGAATCCGTTGGCCTACATACACACAACACTTACATCATCACAATACGCACAGATTGTCAAGGAGTGCTACGATCTTTCACACAAAATATACTCCCAGATCACACTCGCACAACTCTCACTAAATACATACACAAACATCCTACACCTCATATGGATCTCGGGTCACCAGGGGATAGAGGGCAATCAACGAGCTCATGCCCTAGCTCACGACCATTTAAGACCGAGCAACCCCACTAGATGGCCAGAGACCTACTGTCCCAGAGAGGCCAGAGCCGAACACCGGAAACAACGCCGCGCCCCAAAGAATCCAAAAATAACAGGCTTCTTCTTCCTTCACCATCCCACACATATACTATTGACGACGCAGCCCTAATCCGTCAGGCACAGGCACTTACGCTACCCAACGACGCCATACAGCACCACATTGAAAACAGGTCAGGCAAATCGGCGTGTCAGGTATGCGGTGGTTACCCCAACGCCTTTCACACTTACTGGGAATGTACTAGAGCCCTCCCTTCCCACCACATTCTTACCCAAACTCACATCCCACCTTTCATCCCCTATTCCTGGGAGAGCTGGACCGTTTCACCCCAGGAACTCTGCCAGGCCCTATGGCCATTGCTGGTGGCCCATACCAAGCACATAAGGGAATCCTGTCAACTGGACCCAGCACCACAGCCAGGGGTCCAGCCGGGCTTCTTAGGTAGGGATGACTCGGACTAAGAGTTTTTCTAAAGTAAAACATTTCTCTCTCTCTCTCTTCCTCCCTAAGCTGACAGTGTGGTAAAACCTACGTGCATATTGGACCAGCCATACGTCCGCCTTTTGTCACCTGATCACGCTCCCGCCCATACCCACGTGCAGTGAGCAGAGTCAAGGGATGAAAGAAAAGTGGCTGATTGGTCCGGCGGCGGCCACAGTTCGTCGCGTAGGTCACTTCGCCCCAGCATAGTTCATCCCGTACGACTCGTACCAATGACATCTTGTTCCGATACGCTTAGTCCCAATACCTTTTATCTGCAGGGGCTCTATACCACGATGTTTTGTACCAGCAGAGCTTATGCAGTATCTGAGCTTGTGGAAGGTACTAAACATCCGGGTATGGACTGTCCCTGAGATAAAACGTCTTGGGAATGATGAAACGTATGTTTGGAAGTGAAAGCAAACATTAGACAGAAGTGTGTCTGGTTGGGGGAAGTAATTGTTAAGATAAGGCGACCAACCATTCCCTAAATCAGGGGCCCAACGTTTCGAAGCCAACGTCTTCTTCTGCAGGGGCGACTATGGAGGAAAGGGCCTTTCCTCCATAATCGCACCAGAAGAAGCCGAACAGGTTTCGAACGTTAAGCCCCTGATTTAGGGATTGGTTGGTCGCCTTATTTTAATAATAAATGTTTGGAAGTGCCGAGGATGAACTGTTCCGGGATGAAGTGTCTTGAGACAAAATGAGGGGACTCCGAGTTTAACAGCACTGTCCTTCATCGGAAGCCCCAAACAGTCCGTAATCTCTATTTTTCTTTCTTAATTTCGCAGACCTATCATCATCAATGAACAAGCGCAACGCACCGAGAGAGAAGAAGGAAGAAGCCTGGGAAAGGCGCACCCGAGCGAGACAGCCATGTCGTGCAAGAGGGACGAGGAGCTGAGCGAGCGGGAGGTCTCCCAGCTGCGAGAGGTCTTCTCGAAGTTTGACAAGAACCGTCGGGGCACAGTGCCCTTCGTGCACATCGACGAGATCATTCGCACCGCGGGCAGGCTGGTCACCGACGCCAAGTTCAAGGAAAGTATCAAGAACCCCAGTGCCGATGACGCCGAGAGGAGGGTAAGTCTGCATGCTAAATGGAGTATTCCCTCAAGGCCATAGCACAGTCCGCGGCTGCTGAGCGCGGGCCGACTGGGGGCGTCCACAGTTCTTTTGCAACATAAAATTTCACGCCTTTGAGACTGCCAGTCTCAGCAGCCTGTAAACCTGAGTTCGTTCGTTCATGGTCCTGGTCTTTATTTTTTTTCAATATTTATGTCAAAAATTTATTTTAAAGTCATGTTCTTGGGAGGTGCATTTAGGCGCAATTGAAGGCCGTAGCTAATTGTCTTCCTGACATATAAAATATCAAAGCTCGATGCGTGGAGATTGCCACGGTTTCACTATGATGCTTTGCAAAGCCGTCAATTTCCCACCGAAGCATGCGCGTAATAATATTTTTTTCTACTTATTTTATGAAAGATGTACGACATGTACACAGGATATTAAAACTTGCAATAAAAGATTGCCGTGAGAATTTTTTTTTTACAGGTAAAAAGAACACGTTGAAGAAACACATTCCCAAATTATTTACCAAAAAACTACTTCATATAAGTCGGCAAAAAACAGATCGAAATTATCATATTTATCAAAAATAAATATGATCAAAAATTCTGATTTTTTCCCGCCATTTTATAGCCGAAACTTTATTTTGAAACCCTGTAGTCGTAGAGCTGCAGGTTTGTAGTGAAAAAGAAGTTGCAAGCGCATGCACGTTGCTTTGCATAAAAGTTTGCTCTGTACAGGTGCGTGCACGCTACAGGCGGGTTAAAGCGTGAGGTCGCATGACTTCGTGCTTACCGAACAGATTATTTACACGCGCAAGTCGGAAGCACAGCGAGCTCGCGCATACGGGATGCAACACGCTCGCGAAGCTGTCATGTAATCAAGCGGTACCACGAGCAACATTATATTTGTATTTGACGCTTTGATCTCTTCAAATAAGCTGAAACTTGGAAACTTTACCTCCAAACGCTACAAAGTGAGGTTAAAAACACCGGACTCAAACTAGGGTGCCTCAATGTCCTTCTGTTTAGGGTGATGCCACCCTTTGTAGTACCACATGCCGACAGCACGCGCTCACGGGGAAAATACAAAGAAATCGACGAAAACAAAATGTCGCCATAGCACAGTCAGCGCCACAAGCGCGTGCAGGGACACGCTCTTTCACGCGCTTCTGAACAAAAAATAAAAATAAACGTGTGTGACAAAATGGCGAGATGCCACCACCCTAAGCAGAGCGCACATGAAGGCACCCTAACTCAAACACCCAAGGAGCGTTGGGCGGGAACGGCTCGTGTTCCGTTCTTGCACTTGAGCAGGCAAACGTCTGCGCTGCTACGCCGCTGAATATCCCCACTCGACCGGCGCCCATCGACCGCTAACGAGTACATTTACGAATATACGTACTTTATTGCCAAACTTGTTCAGAGGGTACGCAGAAGCACGTTGGCATCGTGGGCCGTGGAACTGACGCAGTCAGACTAGCGTCTACGGCCTGTGCAGCGTACGCAACGACGCACCACTACCCTGCAGCATGGTGGCTGGCACTGGTTGCCCTTCCGTACGACAGATGGCGCTTTTTTTCTCCGAAGGATCTTTACCAGTGGTCTTTTCGGCTCCCTCGAAGTCACCTCGGTTGGGCCCTTCTATTGGACCCTTAGGACGTCCACATACTCTGTGCGAGAGGAAACTTAAGTTTCAGCATGTTGCATGCGCACGGTTGGTGTACTAGTATACCGAGCCTTGTGGAAAGGTTTATATAGGGCAGACGGGGAGATTTATAAATGTTAGAGCTAGGGAGCGCTCCTTGACTTTAACGGCTGTACCATCGGGACACTAAGCTGTACAATGTGATCGACGTGGATGTTCACCCCAGTTTGGTAACAGAAATTCTGGCAAGCATCACCAAAAGACGGCTAAAGAGTTTCACGAAGCGTATTACAACCAGCTACACTTATGGACGGTCAAGACCAGTGCATAAGTACAGAGTCTATCGGAATATTCAATAGCGAGTTCGGCTTCATCAAAGGATTGGATCAATTTGTGTGAAGGACAATGGTACCTGCAATGGATGGCTAGACAAAAATATGTCATGCCTGTGTTTATGTGCTTCCTTTAACGCATATACTCGTAGAACGAAAGGAAGACGAATGTCGTAGGTCAACGCTGTGTCTGTGTCCTTCTTCTTGTCCTTGTGTTTATTTGCGCTGTTTACTATTATTTATGCTTATACCATGTATTGACAAGCGCAACTACGAACGTTGCTTCGCCTTTCTGGGATTAGGAAGTTCCGTTAGAAAGGATTCCGTGCATAAAAAAAATGAAAGACGATTACAAATGTCCGTAATGCGAAATTAGTGCGCAGCTCTTGAGGAGGAGGAGGGAAGGGTATGCTCCTCCTTATTCTCCGTACCCTCCCCCTCTTCCCCTCCCCTCCTCATCCCGTCCTCTCCTCCTCCTCCCATCCTCCTCTGCTCCTCCTTATCTCTCATCCTCCTCTTTTCTTCCTTCTCCTCCTCCTCCTCCTTCCCTTCTCCCCTCCTCCTCCGTACCCTCCCCTCCTCCCACAGTCTTCCTGCTGAATTTAGCTGGGAAATTGACGCCACGTGACATCAGCACCAATTCAGTTTCCCCGCTAAATTTAGCGGATAAAATGACGTCACATGACCTCAGCACCAATTCAGTTTCCCCAAATTTAGCCGGAAAATGACATCACATGACTTCGTATCACGTCACCCATAAAAAAATTCAATTTCTCCGCTGGATTTAGCGGGAAAATTGACGCCAAGTGACCTCAACACCAATTCAATTTCCCGCTAAATGTAGCGGGGTGGTTACGCCGACGGCGACGCCGCTGTAGGTTTTTTTCACATGACGTCAATCCGCCATATTTTTTAGTTTGTTTTTCAAACAAATTCACTAGTTTGAAGGATTACATCGCAACTTGTTGAGAAGATGTCAGCGTGGCAAGACTTATAAGCTTCTGTGGTCTACGCATTTGAGTGGCCATGTGAGCCCTTGGAATGTTCGCCTTCGGAACACGCCTGACAGCTCACAACAAAAATATGGTGGCCAAAGTTATGTCAGTGAAAACACCCTTTACTCGGAAACGGGCGCCTAAGAGCTGCAGTCTAAAAAAACCTAAGATGTTCATTGGCCTTTATGCTTTTGTCCCGCGACGTTGGTGTGTTGGTGTACGCGTGACGCCCCGTGGCTGCAGGTCCAGTTCCCCGAGTTCATGGGCATGGTGACGTCGTACACGCGGCCCATCGAGCCGGCGTCGGACCTCCGGGAAGCGTTCCGGGTGTTCGACCGCGAAGGCCACGGCTTCATCACGACGGCTGAACTGCGGCACGTGGTCACCACGCTGGGCGAGCGGATGACCGACGAGGAGGCCGACGAGCTCATCAAGGAGGCCGACGTGACCAGCGAGGGACACATCGACTACGAGGAGTTCATCAAGACCATCAGCCTGCCCAGGGAGCGCCAAGACTCTTCCAAGCGCCAGGACTCTTCCAAGAGCCAGGACTCTGCCTAAATGACGCTTGGCTGTGTTCTTCTGGCTGTGTTATGCCCATGTAGATTCGAAAGTGCCGCCTTCCGAGGATTAAAAGAAAAAAAAAAAAAGACGGCGGTTTGTGGCTCAACCTTGTTCTCATTTCTTGTTTTCGTCAAAAAAGAGCTTATGGTGGTGTTTTGTTTTTGTCTTTTTCTTTTTTTAGAAGGGGGGGGGGGGGACTGTGGTATTGTGGGCTATACTCCGCTTCACAAGTCCTACCGCAGTCGGCGCTGTGATCCGATGGAGCCAATAAGGAAGCATAAAAAGGGCATCGTCACGACGCTCATCGCCTTTATGCGTCGGCTATCACCGACGTCTGCCAACCACGCAGAGTGAATACCAGCGCTGCGCCAGCGGCTTCGATGGTTTTCGGTAGATCCGAAACTATTCTGGCGATTCCAATGTGAGCTTTTCAAGCCAACATTTTTTTTTTTTTTTTGCGACAGCGCATTTTTTTTGTTTTCCACTTTTGCCCGCCTCCTCCTTTCCTATATCCTCCCCACTTTTTACCTTGCCCCAACGTGGCTCCGGCCTCGTCAAGGTCCAAACTAGAAGGCTCCCTAGTCCAAACACGTATTCTTGTATTCAGGGTGAAACAACGCGGGGGCCAACTGCCCTAGGGGAAATCCACCTGGGCGCACGGGCTCAATGTGTGAACAGTAGCGCCGCCTGGCTACGGGGCTTGCTGTAACAGTTCTTGGCGCCACCTAGTTAGTGTGGCGAGTGAAACTTAAATGAAAAAATTGAAATACTACAACCACCTAAACTGCCATACTCAAGCGTCGATTGTCCAGTGATTCCAAGTTTCATTGTGGTTTTCCTTATTTTCATATTTCTTACTTTTTGCGCCGTCCGAATCCTTCTTCATGAAGTGCAGACTGCATGCCATACTGGGCAGGAAATATCCTCGACACCTACGATGGGGACGAAACTTCTTTGGAGGGCATTCCTCCAACTAAATCGGCTCTGCATTTCCGTGAGTGTGGGGTGGTATATCAGTTCGTCCTATCGGCGCTAACATGTGTAGGTGTCACTGGTACAAAAGCAAAATCCGAGAGCAAAGCAGCAGTGTAGAATATGTCAGCCGTGCCGACACAGTGGTAGGCATGATCGGGAGACCAAATTTCCCGCGTCGTACGGCTCGGGTCCATCGTTCTTTCCGTCCCACAAAACATCGGCGAGTTGAAAAATTAAGAAACTTTGTCCCCACGAGACACAACGCATACGATGTGCACCAATGTACTCGGCGTGGTTTCGTTTTGCTGGGATTCTCACGCCTATTTTCGGAAACGGCCGCTAGGCGGCGCGCCGGTCGCGTCGCACGGAATAAACAGTAGAGTTCAGTGCGAGGGAAAAGAAGGCTGGAGAGGAGGAAACATCCCCCTCGTTCCAGCATTCCACCTGCCTCCTCCCTCTTCATGAACGCTTATCTTCAGCAGAGTAGTTCACTTAATTGATAAATGCGGAAGCAATTTGTCGAAGTTTGCAGCATAGTGCTTAGACGCCATGGATAGACCACAACGCTGATGAAGGTGAATATATTACATCTCATTTTTGAAATTTCATTTGTCCCCCAACGGAGGAACAGGCCAGTCCCGGAAGTAGTGCAAAACCGGGCCAACCCTGGTGTCCTCAAAGCAAGCTCCGAGTAAACGCCATTTTCAAAAATAAGTTTAATATCTCGGACCAATAAGGTCCGTATCAGATATTAAGCTGATAAGAACAGAAACTATTTACGATCTTAGCCAAAAGGCCGAGAAGCGATACTGTTGCTTGCAGTAAATTCGACCCCTTCCACAACAAGGCGCCTGAGATCTGCACGTACCTCTAACTTTGTGCAACAATTACCGATTTTTCGGGTGAAAAAAATGGCATTAGTCTAGAAGAGGATTACTATGATCATTAAGTTAGTTGTATCTCTAAGTTAATGTTTGTCACAAAATGAAATCTCGAGATGTACTCGCGTACATATATGTGAATCCGACCGAGCAACTTTCCGTTTGGGGAGAAGGGGGGACAATGAGGACAGCCAACGTGACGTCACCTGACGTCACGTCGGCTGTCCAAGTGCGCTTGGCATGTGCACGAAATCTTAAGGAGGCGGAGGAGGCGCATTTTTACCTGGCGTTCTTGGCTCGTGTCATGGGGTGTTCTCGTGGTTTTGCGTTAGCGTGCACATGGCCGATAGTTAAGGGTGGATTTGTGGGTCAACCTTGAGGGGGGCGGGGGAAGGGGGTAGTTCTAGTCCGCTGAGAAATGACGTTACGGCCGAAACGTTGCTCAGATCTATTTTGTGGACCTAATATTTGCTATGTCACCAAAAACTAAACTTTTGGGCGGTGTAGGGTGTTCCAAGTTACCAGGCTCGATCTAAAATGAACCGCAAAAATCGACTTCTGCATGTACCAATTTAAACTGTTCGTCAAAGGCGTATTTCACAGGTCGGTCTTTTCCTGTAAAATTACAAAGCATAGGTCCCTTTCTTTTTGAAAAGCGAGGACCAAATAACTTGGCAGGGTCAACGG